TTTTAATGGAATTATGAACACTGAAATACGGCTTTCACTCAATAGGGTGGTCTTCCTGGGTCAAGCTTCTTATCTTTGTGTTCATGCTGACAGCGGTTCATTCACACCGTATTCCATTCTCCTTTGTTTTATGCAAAGAAGAATGGAATATGGTGTGTCAGAGAGAGGGTAAGTATAATACAACTCAATACATCATTCATCAGCTAGACCTGATACCAACTCTTTGTAAACAAAAAGCCTAATGGCCTTCCTTGTCACACATTTCCTGTTGCCTACGGAGATATTTCTAAAAATGCTTGAATATAGCTCATGTCCTGTCCTGGCCACAATTCAAAAGGCCTGAAGATTAAACTGGAGTGTTATGAGGTTTCTCCAGCAGGAGTGGTCTGCAGGCTCACTCTGATGAAACTCACTCCTTCTAGCAGTGACCGTTGCTTAGCACCTCTGGAAAGAGAGCACACTCAGAGGTGATACAAAGAAAAATGCCACTAAATTGTCTCCTAAATGGTAGGATTTATTTCAATGCTCACATACAATTGAATGAGACAAACTATTTACATAAAACACAAGTACAAAAAATATAATACAATTTATACTGTACATAATCAGGATTCCGTTGTTTGATTCCCCCACAAATGACAGCTAGAGGTGGCAAGTAGGGGATTGCTAGGAAAGGGTGCGTGCCCACTCAGCAGTACTGAGGATAGATCTTCAAAGTGTTTTTTATAAAGATGAATAGGCTTGAGATACAGAAGGCAGCAATGCACCATGGGCAGAAAGAAAGCACAACATATTCACTTCTGTAATAATAGCTATTTTTTTTTTCTTTTAAACATGTTTTGTTTTCCCAAAGCTGAGGCTTGGAGCAGGTGTGAGTTGATTTCCACTGATTGGTTAGGTGACCTCTGAGCACCCCTACTCCGACTTCCACAGTCGATCCAATGCAGCAGATAATGAGCTTCCAGTTGCCACAATTGGTGTCTTAAGTTGATTTCAGAAAACAATGTATCTGTCAGGTGTCATTAAACAACAATCTGAGACATGGACCTAGACAGCTCTCAGGAAGCATTTAAAACCAGTGAACTGATGGACAGGAAAGATAAAAGTCATAACCATCAGAAATTTCTATTGTGTACATCAAACAAGGTTTTAAAGAAAAAGGATTGAAACAAAGTGTGGGGTGCCCATGGTCCCCTCAGGAAGTACCCAGCAATCTGTAAGCGTTCTAGCAGAGAAATCCAAGATCCATTCTGTCATTCAAACAAAGGGGAAATGCAAAGCTATCTCATTGTTTTACAAAGCTAAATTATAATTAAGACAAGTTGTCTTTTAAAATTAAATTTAAGATCAGTAACTGCCTGCAAGCTTACCAAGGGCTGAAATTGGCTTTGGAGAAGGTTCACACGCACACAAAAGAAACAATCTCAAATAAGTTTATTTGTTGTCACAAAACAGCCAACACCAAATTAACACAGAATGAGGCATTTAACACTGGACAACATCTTTAAAAATCACATCAAGCAGCATAACAGAAAAGTTTTGCTGTGCGCTTTTGAAGAATCCAACATTGGACCAAGTTTGTGCATTTTCTTGTAGATGATGTAGAATCTCAGTGGTGACTCTAGGTGCTTGAGTGAAAGGTTTATACTGTGCTTTGTTTCGAAGCGCAGAAGTTCAGTTTGCTTCTGGCCAACAGTCATAGTAAAAGGGGTAAACAGTCAACTTCGGCAGAGATAATACTATTACTTTTCTGAACCCAAATTAAGAGTGACAACTTCTGTGAACTTGTGAGGCAGTTTTGATACTAACTTAAACATAATCAGGCAATGTCGTAGGTGGTTGTCACTCCACACCCACTGTATTTATACCAGCTGTCATCAGCCTGCGTCTGATTTTCCTATATCTATGGATTAGCCTGAAGAAAACAGAAACAAAAACCTCCCACTTCAATAGGCATCACGTTGGCATTCTTATTACAGAACAAACACTATGATTTTTTTTTGGAAGATGTAAAAATTAAAGTGATGCTAGTTTTAGAAGGCTGATGCTGAGGTTCCCTCTCTTCTGAGCATGCATTGTACCTATGCTGGTTCTACATCCCCAGTGAGGGCAAAAATCACATCTGAAGATGATGTGCTTCTTGATCATTTTCTATTCCTGAGTTCAAAGAGGCATAGGAGAATAATTTTCTTTAAAGTAAATCCAATCAATCCTCTGCTTCTAATTGAAACCAATAATATCCACACAAAATGATAAATGATCATCTCAAACAAGGCACTAGCAACTTTTTCTAGGAAATTATCCACACTTACAGAGAGGGGAGAAAATGATGCTCTCATTTTAGCAACATGATAAAATAGTTCTGATTTTTCAGATTCCAGATTTGGCTCCCAGCTTGTATTTATCTAACATGTGAATCATTTTATTACTGCCATTCATCTAACATTTGGACCATTTGGCATTAAATTTCCAAAAAGCTGAGAAAGAACAGGATCACATTTGAACTACTGGACCCAGATATTTCAGAGCAAATAGGAAAGGGTGGAATACATTTTCTTATTTGACTGATGGCTTAAGAAACACAAAAGAGTGATTTTCTACCTCCTTTTTCCTCCTTCCAGGTCTGAAAGTGCCCTTGACCAGTTACTGCCATTGTTCCAATACAGTAAAACATGTTTGATTGCGCAAGAATTGATAGTGACTCTGATTGCGGGGTAGTAAGATTGACTGCCTTTCTATGGAAGAAATGATCTAGTATGATCTATCAAGAAGACTGTGTTCTGAGACAGCTTTCACTAGGAAGTGTACATTTCGTGCCAGGCTCTGAATTTGGTTTTGATAATGCCCTATGTCACTTGCAATGTGAACTGTATTTTCAAAAGAGGAGCGGTTTCTCTCTCTCATGCTTCTGTAACATGTACCAAATTTCTGATAATGCAACAGATGACCACTGAATGTATCTCTGATCTTTCTGCTAAAACAATGTATACAATGCATCTTTAATATAAGTCCATAAGGAGTATGAAATAGTCGTTTTATAAATCATCACCAAAAGCTCAACATGATGTCTTGTTTACCTTTTCTATTGCCAAAAGAGAAAAGCAGCAAGAATTAAAGCAACATGTTTTCCTTTGCTTTATTAGGTTACCAAAGCAGATAACTTGATTGCCTTGGCTCACTATTTGCAGAGTTAAAATAAAATCTTTAAGTCAGTTATAATTAATGATCTCAATAGGGGATAATGCAGAAATAAATTTCACAATGATCCCTTGTCTCCAAATACTTCATCTATGCATGGCATTCCATTTGTGCATTTCCTAGGTCAAAGTGAGGATTTCTCTATGTTCTCCCATTTCACCCACTGCCCAAAGAAGTAAGGGGCTCAAATGCTGTCTAGTGTTGGATAAGATAAGTATTGGTAATTATAGATAGCCACAGGTAATCAAATATTGGCAATGTTGTGTCAACATGCTTCCCCAAATGCACCAGGAAGAAGTTAGGATGAACAAATGCGATAGGGATGGCCAACACCATCTGTAAACTCCAGTGTGTATCATAAGTGGTGAAGACTTTGCACGTGTGTTAAGGTTATTAATGCCTTCATAGAAATTGACTGTTGGAGTTGTAGGGCTTAGGCACAGTACTACCACATGGAAAATGGTAATGCAGTTTATTTTACCAACTATTGGTACCTGTTGCCTCTGGTTCTGTGTCCCAGAGCCATCTCTTGAGATTGAAATGCTGAGGTCAATGGAGTTATCCCCAGCGCCACACACAAGAAAACCCTATTGAAGTGTAAAGGACACCTGGAGCATAAAGAAAGCTGATGGCCCAGGGACAAATTTGATGAAGAAGTATCTTGACAGCACTGGGGAAATATTTACTATTTACTCTAAAAGCAAAATGAACACTGTAAAGAAACAAATATTCATTTGTTTCTTTACAAATTCAAAATGCTAACAAGGCTGTTTAGATAAAATGATTAGCTGAGTATAGACTAGATATATGTTTAAGGTAAAATTCCTTTGATATTCAATTATATGCTCATGTATGCTCATGTATCCCCGTTAGATGGCCACTTGGGGACATGGAGACTCCCTGCTGAGACTTTGTTCATTTTTTTTTTTTTNGTCTCCCAAAGTGCTGGGAGTACAGGTATGAGTCACTGCACCCAGCCTACTTTTTAGTGAATTGTTTTAAATTTTTTTTTTGATACAGGGTCTTTCTCTGTCACCCAGGCTGGAGTGCTATGGTATGATCTCAGCTCACTGCAGCCTCAACCTCCAGGGCTCAAGTGATCCTCCCACCTTAGCATCCCAAAAAACTGGGACCACAGGCATGCATCACAGTGGCTGGCTAATTTTTGTATATTTTGTAGAGATGGGGTTTTGCCATGTTGCCTAGACTGGTCTCAAATTCCTGAACTCAGGCGATCTGCCCATTTTGGCCTCCCAAAGTACTGGGACTGTAGGCATGAGCCACTGCTCCTAACCTTTGTCTGTGACTTTGACAGCAGGGCCTACTAATTCCACCAGAGACTCCAGTGTGAACATTCAGTAAAATAGCCTTTGACTCCCACAATTTCCATCCTTCTGCAGATAAATAAGGAAGTAAGGACGCTCTTGGCTAAAACTCTTGCGCTCCAGGCAGTTGATCAAGGCAGAGTCCAAGGGTCAGACCCATGGACCTGTGAAGTGGGCCTCACCGTTTCCGGGGCCTGTCCATAGCACTTGCTGGGGTGACCAGGTCCTGCCTTTCACTTCACCTACTTATCCAACTGTTTCCTTCATTTGCTTCTTTGTTCTTTGGCTTCACCTGTGAGTTGGTGGGGCCAGACCCCCTGGTTCATCCCAGACCACATGAGCCTGAACGAACTTTCCCTATGGACAGAGGTTTCTCCCTGGCAGGGATGGCCTCACATCCTTTCACTGTTTATAAGCTCCTTTCAATTCCTTTAGAACCTCAGACCCAAACACATTTATTAAATGTTCTTTTTTTTCCTCCAATATGAATGCTAATTCTAGTGAGAATCTACTTGAACAGGCTTAGGAGAACATCCCTACAAACATGAAGAAGTTGAGATGCCTCATGTAAGTTACAACGGGCAGCAGCATAGAAACAAAATATGCTCAGAGTGGAATGAAGAGTTCTGGAGGAACGCCATGAGCCTGGAGACTGCAGCTCTTCTCTGCAGAGGAGCCTGACCCAGTGCCCCCTGAGTTCCTTTGAATTCACTGAGTCCACATCATTCAGAGCTGACAAAACCCCCAGTTTCACCAAACCCACATGACCCCGGAGCTATGGGGAAGGACACACGCTGTGCAGTGTGCAGGAATTCTGTCCTTCCCCTTCCTGTAAAATGTCAGTGCACTGTAAAATCGATATTAGACGGTGATGAGTCTAGCCTCAAGAAAGGGCCCTGAATAGTACTGGGAATCACTTTCAAAGAATTTAAACATAAGACTAAAGCCAGCTTCCTCATGAAAACCAGCCAATCTTCAACTGTATTCAGAAATAACTTTAGATTTAAATAGTGATTAATGTCATTTTACATCAGGTTCAAACAAGTGTAGCTTAAAACTATTTGTCGTTTTTTGTTCCACTTGTACNAAAAAAAAAAAAAAAAAAAAAAAAAAAAAAGGGAAGAAAGGAAGAATTAAAGAAGAAAGGAAAGAAGGAAAGAAGGCAGGAAGGAAGAACCAAAGGAAGGAATGAAGGACAAAAACAAAGATAAAGAGAGAATGAAAAATGTTATTGAGGAATTTAAAATGTGAACCACAAAATTTCAGCAGGACTCCCAAGCAGCCCAGGCCTAAGGAAGAACTGCTTTAAGGAGGAGGTGCTAAGAGAGGTGAGAGATCGCACTGACATCGCCCAAGGTGTGAGGGTTCACCCGATAAGGATGAAGTATGGAAACAGTACACGTGAACGGTAGCTACACCGTGATGGACAAACAAAACTTATTCCACAGCTAGTAAAAATGCTAAGAATATACCTGAAATTGTCTAAACACTTGCCATTCTGTCAAATAAGAGAGAGAAAGGAAGAAAGTGAAACAATTTTCCTTTGAATAGCGGGAAACAAAGTGGGATTCTTTTGCAATGCTAATTTCAAAGGTTTATATTGTTAAGAACACAAAGAGTCTGTGGTGAGGGATGGTGTTTTCCCAAGTCATTGCAAAAGACTCCTTAAAGACCAGCTTAGATGCCATTTAGAAGCCATTTCCCATAAATTCCAGTGAAACATTCATGAAATAGAATCCTTATTCCCAGGGGAAAGAAGTCTCTTTAAGCTTAAAAAATAATAGAGAAGATTAAGAAATAACTAAAATGTCCTATGTGCTGCAAAGTTAAAATGTTTTTTTCCCTGTAAGAAAGTGATGAGTTGAAATATCCGATGAAAATCCAACCTAGGAACAATGAGGGAACCATCTGCCTACATTTCCTCTACTGAGTATGGAATTTGAGCATGTGCACATGGACAGAATACTCTTACATATAAGGAATGCGTGAGAGGCAGCAGGAAGTGCCCATTGGAAAGACCCTGAATGTCATTTATTTGCAATCCAAAAGAACTTACAGAGCCCACCTGTCATTTTAATACTGTGTCATTTCTGTAAATTTGGGTATATGAGAATATTCTGAACCCAACAATATTCACTATTAAACACAGAATTCTTCTAACACTTTCTGAAATTGTTTCTGTAAATTGGAAACAAGGGTAAGGGTAAAAGCACATATGCTAATAACATTCTATGTTCCTCATTATCCCTACTATATATTTTTTCACAGATCTGAAGTTTCATTTATCAGTGAGAACACGTTTCCACGCCTACCCAGGACTTTATCACGTGCTCAGAGGCATCAGATGAACATTTTCTACTGTGTTCTTATTTTCAATAATTATTCAATTAATTGCTATATGTTATGTATCAATTGTTTGCAAGCAACGTGTATACATTTTTTTCTGGGGGCCTCTGTGAATGGTGTTATCACACTCGCAAATGCTTATCTATGATCAGTGATGAGACCACTGGGCTCACAAAAACCCCTACTTCCAGCTATCCTGACTTTCCAAGATGCATCTTGAAATGCTGTTGCCTCCATGCAGGGAGAAGCTAGGGTGGATGTACCAGATGGGTGGGAAGGCAGCACTGAAATAAAAGAAAAGGCACCAGAGCTGAGCATCTCCTGCTCCCCTGGCCGGCAGGCAGCAAGCAATAGCAGAAACCAGGGGTAGCACTTCATATGGACCCGGTGGACTCCAGAAAGCCAGCTTTGCATGGGATTAATGCTCTTGATAGGGGTTATTTGCCACACATTGGTTATATCAGGGAGATGAAAAATAAAATATTATCATTAATATCAGTTCTTTCAATATTTTCTATAACATTAAAAAAGTTGCTTTTAGTTATAATTTAGTACTTTCAATACTTTTACTAATTGGTATCATAAATGCACACTTGTTTTGTTTTTTTTTTCTTTTCTTTTTTTGCAGGGAGAGAGGAGGTGTGGAGTCTATCCAAACGCTAAGGAAGTCGTTGGGTATTTTACAGACTGGCTCTTCAGGATGTCACTATGGACCAGACAAGTGGGCTTCCAGGCCAACAGCATGGCAAGGAGCTCCCCAAAATGCCATGAAATCCAAAAGTCAGAATAAGGCGAGTTTTGCAGCAGCCTGCAGAACACGTCCACGCTTCATTGTGCCTGCGCCTCTGCTCCGCTCCCTCTACCAGCAATGGCACAGAAACTGCAACAGGAGCGAGGTGGGGTACCTCACAGTCTACTGTAACCTCTGCAGGTGTGGGCCAGGTGGAATTCCTTGGCTTCCCTAGGCAAGATGAAAACACACAAGTTGGTTCTGAGAATCTAATAGCTTTATCCAGATCTGGAAGATGTGCGATCCGTGGTGAATAATTGTTTGGCCACGTTCTTTTTCTTCATTTTATGAAATATTACGGACCTAAGCACTTCTTGTGGAGGGAGCAGGTGTCTCAGAGAAAGTGCCTATTTTCTTGAAATAAAACATCATGAAGATTTACGCTCCAAAGAAAGAAGACATTCACATTTCTAAACACTCCTTCCCATGTGGGTGGCACATTTATAAAATAAAGCTCAAAAAAACAAACCAATGGACTTGTCAGAGAAATAGGATGAACACAATTAAAAACTTCACACCCTGGCTCATTCAACAATGGTCAAGATTTTCATGATACCATATTTCGATTTTTGTTGCTTTTAAAGACATGTATTTTTGGCAGCAATGGGACACTCTGGTGGCTTGAAATGTATCCAAACTTCAACTCTGAGGCCTCAGAAACAGGGGCAGTCATGGGGCACAGGCCTTGAGAACTGGGGATTTACAAGAAGCCAAAAACATAAGCACTATTAGTAATCATCATAATTATTGAGATCTGTAAAGTAGGCGTTAGAGTAGGTCTTCCCAGTGAGATGTGGGTTGAAGTATTTGTTTCTTTCCTCTAGTATCAAGTTGTTTTTGTTAAATGCCTGGAAAATATATGGGAAAAAAAAACAAAAAACAAAAAACCAAGTTTAAGAATGCTAAGTAGCATTTCAGAAAGAATATAATGAGGATGACTAATGTTGAATTTGTGCTCTCTGCTAAGGTTCCATTATTTTAAAATACGTTTTTTCGATTATTTGCTTCCCCGGATGATTTGCCTCATGGATGACTTGCCTAATTACCAGAATAAGGTTGGCAGGTTGTGATATCTTCTGGTTTATTTTTCAACTTTAGTTATGAAGTTTCCAATAGAAGCAGGGGTTTAGAAAAGCTAAATCTAAATCTCTAGAAAACTTAAAACGCTGATGATTTCTGATTAACAGACATTTTGAATGTAACTAAATACGTAGAACTGAATTCATATTCATATAACTGAATAAATACATAAGTAGCTTTCAGATGTCCATGGGTGGGTATCCTTATCAGAGACCTTGGCAGAACTTATTTAAGTAAGGGCATCAGGTTTTGAATGTCTTAATTTCTTTTCATCCTTAACTTGTTAGAAGGTGATCATTGCAGCCGTTTTCTATTAATAGTTATTAAAGTCACCTGCAGTTTCAAACAGCCCAAAATGAGCCCGTAGGCGGGATAAATATTGAGAGGACTAAAATGAAGATGAAGAAGGGTGCACAAAGGCCATCTGTCCAGGATTAGTCTGGGCAAAGTATCAGAAAAAAAAGTTCTGGAAGGATTCATTAAAGACTGGGCAGCTGTCCATGCCTTCAAGGCCCTTTGCCTTCATGGCAGAAACATTTCTGATTATCTTAAAAATGGCTGTTGAATCTTAAGTGGGAACACAGGGCTGGGTAAATTACCTTCTGAAGCCTGTAGTAACAGTGGCCAGAGACCAGCTGGTGTGTTGGAATCATGCTCAGAGGAGCCAATTTCTTGAGATCTAAATGTTTGTTACAAAAGCTCTTGTTCACCAAAAGAGCTTGGGCTCCTCTTCAGGCCTCCTCCTTACTCTAGGAGCTCATTTCTGAGAGGCCAGGAGGGGCATGTTATTCATTCCTGGTGCTTCATTCCTTAAATCTACCATCTGAGTTGGGGGAGATGCCAATGGCTTGTGGATCATCCAAGGGGAAAAGTCAATTGGTGTGTCTCCATCCAGGTGGTAGAGAATAGAGGCCACATGGCTGAGAGGAGATAAGCATGGACATGTGGCTCCTGGGACGTAAGGTATCCCAGCCACATGAAGTCACAAAGGCTAAAGATATTCCATATTCTCACATAGGGAGGAAATTCAATTTCAAAGAAAACCACAGCAGAGAAATGGCATCAAAATACTCCCTACGAGTGTTAAGGGAAACCAGGCACCTAGCAGGAATATCAAAATTTAGTTAGACTTCTTGCAGGAGAATGCCCTTCATTCATGTGGATAATAAGGGAGGTTGGGTGCAAAGGGCCAAAGCCTTGATGTCTTTCCAGCTACTCCCCTCACCTCCGGTGTATACACACAACAAAGCCTCATGTTCTTTAGAACATTTAAACCTCACAACAGCAATACGAGAGCATGCACTCTTTATCCATTTTAAAGATGAAGAAACTAAGGTTCAAAGAAGTAAGGAACCTGTAGTCTGAACCATAATGCAAAGTGCTTCAAGTAAAGACCACATTTATTTTGCTGGGTGCTGTTCAAAGCATTTTAGGTAAATTACCCCATTTAATTCTCATTATCTCGTTTATAGAGGAGAAAATAGTGGCTGATTGAATAAGCAGAACTAGCATAGGTTTACCCAGCTGGACGTGGTGCTGACCCGTGAGGCAGGTTTGTGAAGTTCCAGGCTGATACCCACCTCCTTCCTCCTCAGAATGTGAAGGGAAATGGCCATTTTCGCTAAACTTCTGGGTCAAATCCTGGGTTAATCACTCAATGGGGAAATTAAGAACATACATCACCCAACACCAGGTACCACACTTTTACATCAAGCAGCATTGAAAAGCCTTTACTCTGCTTGAACATGATTTAAAGACAGCTTTTATTATAATAAAGGCAGGGTCCACCTGCCTTCTGTGCACACCTGGCCACTGCTGTCACTGCCGACTCCTTACCTTGATGGCCTCCACAGAGTCGTACTTGTCCAGTTTGTTGATGTGGTTGGTTATGCTGGTGTTGAGAGGGGCAGGTGACACAGGGTGGATGACAGTCGCATCGTGGGATTGCTGCTGGTACCGCTGGCAGTAGGTGTAGATGAGCAGGGTGAGGAGGCAGCCGAGGATGGAGCTACTCAGCCCCACGGCAATCATGTGGAACATGTTGAATTCTAGGGGGACAGGAGCAAAGTGGTGCCACATTTGAAAAGAACAGCCTGCCTAGCTACTCAAAGCGCTAGACGAAAAGAGAAAGTCACAATGAAAAGCCCCATCCCCATTCCGAAGTTTAAGAAATCACCACTCTTCAGTCTTTCCTTGGAAACATCATGGCCATCAAGGAACTTCTCCATAGTGAGCACAGCATAGTTTAAGTTCCTTCTCTTGTGGATGATAGCCAGTCTTTTGGAGTGACCTTAAACTTTAATACACTACTGGAAGCTTTTTTTTTAATTTGAAGGTTTGCACAACAGCGTTCTTCTGCCCTTTCAGAGATGCTCTGCACATTTATATGCTGTGTGTGTGTGTTGGGGGGTGTGTGTAAACACTATCCTGTGTACCACTTTTCTCACTTATGTTTTATTTTGGAGGTCTTGTCAAGAAAATTGTTTACTAAAAAGAAATAAGGAATTTGTGTTACATGAATAAAATACGATCTTTTAAATGGTCATGAAATGACCTTCTTTTACTAATGTCTTCCTATTTCGTGGCATCTTTTCTGTTTCATCGAGTTATTTTCCTGGAGTTATAAATACGTAGCATTCAGAAAATTCTCCAGCATGGACTTACAGCTGTAAAATAGGATTGGCTCAAGTGACATCAAGGCACCATAGAAAGACCTGCATGATATCTGAGTAAACAAGAAAGACAGCAGATATCCCTGTGTGTTGGTGAAATACTACTATTCAAGTTTCAAGCCTTTCAGGAAACGAAGGCAGCATGTGGCCAGCACCACAGAGCTGGGCTCCAGAAGAATCACGTGAAGCAGAACAGGTGGTTATCTTCCTCTGTGTTGTTGCAAGCAAGTGGCTGCTGCCCATGGGGTACTGGCCTCATGTGCCCCTGCTCAGAGCACATCCTGAGGACACCAGCTTTCCCCCAGGGGGGCCCCTCCATATACCACCAGGGTGAGGGGCAGGGTTGCCAATACCTTTCCCTGAGCTGTCAGTCCTACACCGAGTGTAACAATTGGAGGTATGTACTGAGTATCACTGCGATGCTGACAAGCCTGCCTGGCTGCAGAGAAAGGCCTTCCGGGCTAGGGTAGCAATGAGGAGACCTGCAGGTTTGCCCCTGCACCCAGAGCCTGGGTGCATCTTAACCATCCCAGTCTCCTAAGCTGTGCTCCTTGGCTGCTTCTGAAACTGTGTTCCAGGAACCCAGGACTCTGGAGCTGGATCTGCCCCTTCAGGTGCACGGACACTGTGAAGGAAGGCTGCCTTCTCTCTGGCTCACTGTCGGGCAGAACTCACAACACACTCCTGACCACTGAGGTCCCAGTGGACGATGCAGTTCCTAGCACAGGTGCCCAGTGTACTCAGCACTAAGGGCTGGACCATCTGGGACGACAGCACTAGAACATTCCACAAGCATCACCCACTCCCTGACAACCACCTCAACTTTTCACTACCAGCTTAGTTGGTCAGTGGTTTCAGAATCTTTGGCCTTTCCTGACTCTGTCGTGAAGCCTCTAGGGCTGGAGAACTCCCAGCCTGGGACAGGCGGATAAAGCATCCAGGGGGCATTCCACCTGCAAACACTGGGACTTTTACTGTAACACTGAGGCTGTACTTAGATAAGCAAGAGCCGATTTCACACGAGTTCTTACTTCTCTATACTTCAGCTGTTAGTGCTCCCCAGGGTCAATGCCTTGTGCTGATGGAAATACTTCCTGCTACACTGATAGTTCATCTTTCATTAGACGCATGACGGTCTCCATATGCAGATACTGTGTCATTAGTCAAATGAACCGTTCCAGTGGGTGCCTGGGGAAGGCTGGGGCCAGCTGACAACTTTATGACGATTATGTCATATTATGTCATTATGTCTTTGTGTCTCATGCAACAAGCAATAGCTCTCTAAGATGAAAAATTTCAATGGAAGCACATTTTTCTGCATGGGGAAAATAGTGCCCATTAAATTTCTTCTGAATGTGCTTACTGTGGTTCTTTCCTTTGAATATTATTTTCTGCTGCTGATTTTGGTCAGTAAAGATAGAATAGAGACCAACTATCCTGTTGGTTCAATTAGCTAATTTCCTGTATAAAATTTGGTTGATTTTCCCACAAAATGAAAATAATACAAACAAAGATGCCTATGTTGTCAAAAACATCCTTGCTTGGTAACTGTTTTCAACTATTAGCCCTACAATAGGATTCATCTAAATTGCCTATGCTATTGTGCCAGTGCCAGCTGCCTGATCTTAAAAAAAAAAAAAAATCTGTTCTGAATATCCTAGAGTGGTTCAAGTTCCTGTGATTTAACCAATAGCATCTCAAGGCTTGGTACAGCCACTAGGCAGCTGGTTCAGACACACAGAAGTAGTATTTTAGAGTACGGATGGGCTTTACACCATGTTCTCCTGGGTGCTAAAGGCCCTTGAAGATCTTCCACAGAGTAACTCAGTGGGGCTCAGCAGGAGGAAAGCAAACTGCACACGTCTGACAGCAGGCACTAATATCTAGCCAGCTCTGCTGAGGCACCCACTGTTTGAGCCTCAGGCTCTGTGTGGTGTCCCTGAGAATGGGAACACTTATAAACTCTGTTCAACTCTTGACCTACACTGTCTCTGATGGCAGCAGACAGTCCTGGACCCTGTCTATTGTCCAAGAGTGTTACCTAACTAGGGAGGCTGTGGCTCCAGCCTCCTGAACACAATGCTTTTGAATACTTATTATCAAGGTTCTCTTTGTAAGGTGCTCTGCGTTCAAAACTCACACTGGAGCCACTGGCTGAATTCCGTGTGTGCACTTGGGCCAGTGACATCACCGCTCTGAGCCTCATAGTCTCCATTTATAAAATGCAGATTAAATACATAACCACTGTTCCTTTTCCATAATTCCTAACTGTAAATTCTCAGAAAAGTCATGTTTCATCAGTCATCTGGCAGCAAAATGTCACCGACCTGACCCACTTTTCTGTAGAGCTGACCGGAATTGCTAGGAAAACCCTTAGCATCTTCACTTTTTCAACATCTTACAGCAGCATTATTAAAGAGATTGGCTGTAGAACAACCCCAGACCCTGTGCAGGTGTCATGTAATATAGAGTACAGGCTTCACATACCCTTCTACCATCTAAAAACTGCTGAGTTCCAAAACCCTTCTCTGTCTCCAGAGGCGTCACATAAAGAACTGTGGCCCCTGGCACCTACATGAATGCTCCTCGTGAGGACCAAATGGGCTTTGCACCATATTCTTGTCTAAACCATGTAAAACAGTACATAGCACACAATTACTGATCTAAAAACATTAGCGGGTACTAATTGGTATGATCATTTTTATGTGAACTGGTTGCATATTCATCTTGTAGTTGGATAGTTGGATTACATATGAGCAACAGCCAGTTAGTGAACTCACTCCACTGACTTCACTCAGACGCCTCACATTGCCCTTCTGAGGCAATGGAGTCTCTGATGATATGATTGCTGGTCAGAGGGGCTGGGGATGCTGAGTGCCCATCGTAAGCTCAATGGCCTTCACTAAACTGACAAAGAATGCGTGTTCAGCAAGGATTACTGCATTAATGAGTGAACTAACAGATTGCTGACTGAGTAGATAGAATGTCACAGGTAGCTTTTTTTTTTTTTTTTTTAAATGCAGGGTCTCATTCTGTTGCCCATGTTTGAGTGCAATGGCATGATCTCGGCTCACTGCAACCTCCGCCTCCCAGGTTCATGAGATTGTCCTGCCTCAGCCTCTCCAGTAGCTGGGACTACAGGTGTGGGCCACTGTGCTGGCTAATTTTTATATCTTTTGGTAGAAACAGTATTTCACCATGCAGGACAGGCTGGTCTGGAACTCCTGACCTCAGGTGATCTGCCTGCCTTGGCTTCCCAAAGTGCTGGGATTACAGGCATGAGCCACCATGCCCAGCCAGTAAGCTCTTAATCAAAGTACTTTGTAATGGTAGTCAGAAATGATAATTAAATTCCTGAAACATGCCTATGAAGCTTCATGTTCCATGAAAACATGTCAGAGGCAATATCTGTTGGGTTGGGCTCTCTTGGACACCCTGTGGAATGGATTAGGGGAGCAAATGGGAATCTATCATCATCAGTCACACTGATGATGAACTATTGGAAGGGAAGGCCTCACTGTAGATATTGGCTTGGATTCTGAAAGGTGGACATGGGCTGTTCCTTGGTCCCTGGACAGGCCAGCCTCTCCCTCCAGGCATGTTCATGGCACAGACAAGTACTTTATGGGTATATGGAAGGCACAGGCTGCAAAATCCAAAGTTATCATGTACTTGAACTAGACAATGTTGTCTTTGACATTCATGGTGGCAGCAGGTTTGAAAAATTCCTCTAGCACAATAGGTGAAACCTTATGCCTCATTACAATTTAGTCATTTCAGTGGGTTGGAGATTGGAGGCTAGCTTCCATGGATTTCTACTATACATATAAACAAATTATTTGAATTCTACTTTACTCATGAAACTCTACAGTGAATATTGAGACCAATGGTTCATAAAGCTGAGCATCCATCAGAATCAAATGCAGGGCTAATTAAACCACTCACTGCTGGGCCCCTCCCAGGGAGGTCCTGATTCTGTGGATCAAAGTAGGGCCCGAGGATCTGCATTCCCATCAAGTTCCCAGGCCATGCCCAGGATGTGGGTTTAGGCACCCCACTTTGAGAACCACCAATCTGTATGTCAAATATTGACTACCTTATGCCAAGGTAGAATGCCTGGGATCCATAACTTTTATCCAGTTTGTCATTCTTGGCCAAGAGGCAGAAACATTATAGAAAACATGCAGAAAAGGAAATGATTAGAATATATCAGTATACCCGTTAAAATTACTTAAAAGGAAAAACATACCTCCACATCTTTTCTCTTCTACGCTACTGGATCTTGCCACAGATACTTCTGGAAAAACAAAAGTCAAATCACAATGTGTAAAAGGTGTTGGGAAGACAGTCCACATTCACGCTTTATGTACGTTTGTCTAATGATTCTGGATTTTATGTGATGTAAAGTTTCAAAAGCCTGATTAATTATCAGAAAACTGTACTTGTTTCTTTGTTTTAACCAACCTGATATGGATTTGGCCAAATCACCTTGACTAAGGACAGGTGGGATCCATTTATCACAAAAAGATAATGGATGTCCCTTGGGCTGAAAGCAGGGAATGTGCTCATTTTCCTCCTGCCAGGGAGGAACCCCCCAGCTCTGCCCAACACACAGAGTGCTCCTGTGATATTCCTGCTTCCTAGACTTGTTCCACTAAAGCCAGTGTTGTCACCTTCCCGGCAGAGGGAAGGTCCCTTCACCAGAGCTCAAGGACGTCTCTAGAACAAGTGAAGTCCCTCTTCAGGAGGACTTTGACGCTCTTTGCATGCAACACATGAAACCTACAGAAGGTGCAGAAAGAGGCCACATCTCCTATGTGTTCTAACTCCTGAGGATAAAATACCACTTCAGGAATCTAGGAACATCATTCTTTCCTGTATTCATTTTTTATTAGATAACAAGAATTAAAAATACGTCTATGGTTAACAAGGACAACAATTACAACCACTCTTACAGTTCTGTAAGGTACATGATTGAGGTATGGTATACTACTTTTCTCTAAAATATTATCATTTGCATAAATGAAGGAAAACAAAGAATTGGCTTATAGAATTCAACCCTATTATCTATTTACCAACAACTACACACTGACTTCACCAGGAAAAGCTGGTAGAATGAGGGCCACCCTCTTCTCCAACAGGAGAATAATGATGCATTTCTACTTTCTCAAGTATATTAAAGATCGCAAAAAGAAAATGGCCCTTTTTCTCTGTGTTCCCGTGCATATACAGGGAGCACTGCCCAAACATTTAAACTAATATTAGAATAACCAAATAACAAAATAATATTTAATAATAACCAAATAACATTTTCATTTTTTGAGCAGTCTTCTGACTGTATTATAGTCGATAAACTGCAAAAGACACTGTGCCTAAGAAACCTTATACTCATGAACTGAATTCAAGTTTAAATCTGCATTTCTCTATAGACCTACATTTTAAACACCTTGAAATCATGAGGTTTGATAGAATCATCTCTATTTCGCCAAATAAAACACTGATATATGAATCATTTTCTCTCTCCATGTTGGAGATGATTTTGTTCTTGTTGAGAAATGCCTCTTCTCTTACCTGGGATAAAGTTAGAGTCAAACACACATGGCTGGCTCTCTGTGGTGTTCCCGGAGCACTGGCTGCCCACGGGGAAGGGGAGGATGCACTGGCGGGAGCGGATTTGGACGCCGGAGGCTTCGCACTCAGACCAGTCCGACCACTCCGACCAGCTCTCTGCAGAGACCAGAAGAGGGGAGACCAGTCAGTTCCATCATCCTGGACTCACTGGCAAGTTACATATGTGATTTCTGGATTCCACAGCATGTTTTTAATGGTTCTGTGCATCAGTAAGATGTGGCTGTATTCTCTAACAGGTCCAGTACGTAAAATACACACGAGGATGAATAAAAGGGCCTGAGCTGGTATATATGTGATCAGATATCATGTGCTTAAAATAAACTTCCTAAGACCCACATTATTTTAATGTTATAAAGTAATTGTATTTAGACATTCAATAAGTGAATCCATGAGACCCAGCCATGTGCAGACCATCAGCAGCAGAGGCATGTAAGTCATTAGTGCAGGCACCATTTTGCTATGGGTGGTGCTCTGCTCAAAAAGCCCAAATGCTTTCCTGAAACATTCCTGAAAATCCTCCACCTCCCTCCGTGCTCAAGCCAGAGAAATAACTGTGTGCTCATGAAAGTCCCAGGTTGCTGAAAGGGAGTCTGAAGCTAGACAATTACTTACTCCTCTGTTATATAAACAATTCCGCAGAGTCAACTGTCAAAGCCAGCCTGCCCCTGAGGGAGAATTCATTTTATCCCATGTTTGCTGTCTCTTAAGAGACAAGGTCAGTGCACAAGTCTCGGGACAAGGCCAAAAGACGGGCATTGAGAGGATACAGAATACTTCACCCTGAAATGGAAGATTTACTAGGATTTGTGAAATTCACCCAGGCATACAGACGTGTGAAAAGAAAGGAATAACACTTCTACAAAAGAGGGTTAAAAAAGTAAACTCTTGTTATTGTTCATGAAATTTTAATCAGGATAAAAAGGTATTTTTTCTATGCAGTTTGTTTTTTTCCCCTTTTTTAAATAGAAGCACTGACTTTACAGCAGCAGGAAAAATTTAAAAATCAAGCTTGTGCCTTGCTCCAGGTAAAGGGTACAATGTTTCCTTAGACACATGCACACGAATGTTCATTGCAGCACAGTTTACAACAGCAAAGACCTGGAACCAACCCAAATGTCCATCGATGATAGACCGGACAGGGAAAATATGGCACATATACACCATGGAATATTATGCAGCCATCAAAAATGATGAGTTCGTGTCCTTAGTAGGGACATGGATGAACCTGGAAACCATAATTCTCAGCAAATTGACACAAGAACAGAAAATCAAACACCACATATTCTCACTCATAGGTGGGTGTTGAACAATGAGAACGCATGGACACAGAGAGAGGAACACTACACACGGGGGTCTGCTGGGGGGAAATAGGGGAGGGACAGCGGAGGGTGGGAAGTTGGGGAGAGATGGCATGGGGAGAAATGCCAGATATAGGTGATGGGGAGGAAGGTAGCAAATCACACTGCCACGTGTGTACCTATGAAACAATCTTGCATGTTCTTCACATGTACCCCAAAATCTAAAATGCAATTAAAAAAAGATTTAAAGTAAAAAAAAAAGAAAAGAAAAGAAAAAGAAATGGATAAAGTGTCAGTTTTTAGAATGACAGTGAGAATCTGGCTTCAAGGCCCTTTTCAACCTACATAGAACCTTCTAGAAAGATGAGCAGAAGGAAGCTAAAAATGTGTGTGTTTCAATGTCAAAGTTAGACCCCAAAAAGAGTAGCTCATTTTCATTCCAGGTGATTCCTGGATGTCAATAAACCAAGCTATTTTTGGGATGGTGGTGGCGCTAGAGTTCCCAGTGCCTGCATCAGCCCCAGGGAGCTTGGATCAAGGAGCTCCCACACCCACAGGCCCAAGGATGGCTCCTGTGAGATGCACCTCATGGCAGTGTTCCCTGCTCCCCACCCTGATTTTAAAAACAAAACCTCAGACTCTGTTCCTAGGCAATCGGCTTTAAGAATGCTTTGCTATCACCAGTTTCTGATGCTCGCTGTGCTCCTCTGCTTGCTGATTTGATGTCATGCTTTTTCTTTCCTCTAATTGGACTATCTCTGAATTACAGCCCATTGACCATGGATGAAGCATCCTCCAGGAGTGCTTAGTGTCCCCTTGTTACATTTTAGGAGTCATTCCCGGAATGCAGGTCTGGAAATTTTTGGCAGACACGTGGCTGCACCCTGGCTGGCTTTGAGACAGAAAGTCTGCAGGCTATTTCCCCTCTCAGACCTCCACACCTGGGACGGCACTACAAATGCTCGCTCGTTCCCATCTTTCCTTGAACTTTCTCCCTCAACACAACAAGGTGCTGCCTGTGGATCACTAGTGTTAATTAGCAAAGTCAAGAACAAATTGGGATGTTTCCTAATTAGGGACATTGGGTGTTGTACCATGCCACAGATTCAGAACTTGTGTTTGAAGCCTTTAGCACTCTCCCATTGATGGGCTAAAGGCTTTGAACACGAATTCTGAATCTATGGCACAGTGAGAACTATTTTATTATAGATGCTATGTTTTAAAGTCGCTTCAAGGGTAATAGCATGCTGCTGACTTGTCCACCCCTTTCAGTACTTACTGTGATGCAGTATCATCAACAACACCATTTATCCATTAAGGGAAGAGGCCAATTTTGTCCTGAACCTGCGGGGTAGGCAAGGTGCTGCTTACCTGGGCAGGGCTGCGTGTTGCAGAGTGCCTCTTCCGTGTGCAGCCCCAGGCAGATGTCCCCTCCGTAGGCCGGGGCTGGATTGGAGCATGAGCGGGTCCTCATATAGTGCCCACCGCCGCATGTTGCTGAGCATTTTGTCCAGGGGGACCAGCAAGACCACATGCCATCCACTGTGAAGGAACACAAAGCCACAGCACTTCTGTAATCCCAACCCAGCTAAAGGAGTCGCTAAATGGATGCCATTTAGTAATGGAAGCTGAATGGGATCTGTACTCCAGGAGGGCTGCAGAACGCACATCACAACCAGGCTTCTGGCTGCTGGTGGCACTGCATCTGGAGTCTTCCTCTTGGTGACAGATCCAATTTTACAGATTCCTCCCTACACTTTTTCAGTTTCTTTTATTCATTCTTTCAGAAAATATTTCTAAATCTATAGTATCTAAGTACAAGCATGACAGCGGAGGGTGTGAGGTGTCCTACTAATTCCAGTTCCTGAGAACAACCATGAACCACCCTGTACGGTTATTGATGTAAAGCCCCAGCCAGCTCTCACCTTTGCCATCTGTACCATCTAAACAGTCAGATGAGACTTAAAGCCAAGGATACGTAGTTCAAGTCACAAGCTCCTTTGCTAATTGGATTATGGTTTACTCCCTGACAGTGGAATAGAGAAAAGCTAACAGGTCCGATGAGGAAGGCAACTGAAGAATGCTCCGTAAATTCAGGCATAAAACAACCAAATGAAGTAAAGCCACGCAGACTTGCTGTGTTTAAATGACCACAGAGAGGAATCTGAAAATCTGCAGCCATAAGTCGGGTTAGATATTAAGGGTACAGTTTTACAATATGAACATGAGGCCGAACTGGCTCCTTGAATGACCATTCCCATGACAGCTCATAACTCAGCACATGTCTCTGCCTGTTCAAGTTAGTCCCTGAATTCTTTAGGCTGGGCTCTTGATACCTGTAGACTGGCTTGCTGAATGCTGGGGTCTGGTGGCCCGCCTGAATCTGGGAGACTTTAGGGCTCAGTCCTTTATTAGCTGACCTTGCTAAAACTAAGACTACGTGTTGGCTTAGGTTTGTGACAAGGTCAAATAAGATTTGTTGTTTAGCTAACTCCTGACTGTGCCTCTCTCTTACTAGTCAGATCTGCCCTGTTATTGCTGAATCCCAGGGCAAAGCTAAAGGACATTGTCAAATAAGGTATTAGAGACTCATCAAGAGTTAAGGACCAATCATAACCTCAGCTAACTCCATTAAAAAGCTGAGGAGAGACTCACCATTTGCTATATGTAGAGAGAATCCTATTTTAGCTTTCTCTGTAGCCTGCACAAAGAAACAGGAGCAACCATGACAGAGAAAGCCAAAATCATTCAGGACGTAAGATTGTTTTAGTTAGAATAACTTTGGCTGTATTTTAATATGCCTGCCATGATGGAACACATCATTATGGTGTAATGTTTCTTTTTAGATATTGGCAAAGGTAAAAGGAAAGCATTTTTTAGAAACCACAGCAAAACCATCATCTTTGTGACAATACTCTAATTTGCAAAAAGTAAAAAGGAAACAAAAATATGTGAACCCAATTTAGAAAGAAGGTTGCAATCTAACTGGAGATTCTGTGATTCAATAGTTTACACAACTTTTCAATTTCAAAAGTATTCTTGAAATTTTGAAAATTCAACAGTATTTACCCTAAAAGTTATACAGTATATCAGATAGCTAGAGGAATCGATCAAGTGTTTGACACTGGTTGCAACATCAGCAATAAAAGAGACAGGCATGTGTTTTCCTAGAACTTTAACATTTTCAAAAACTCTCTCCCATATCTAGACACACTGAAAGAAGCACTAGCTGTCAGTTTCTCCTGTTTGTTACCTAAATCGGAACTTGGCCTCCAGTGAGTACCCTTGCATGCCCCATACACCAAGGCAAAATAAGTCACTGTGACTTATAGTAATAGCAAGTATCTTAGATCTTGGCTATCTAAATGCACACAAGGCAGCCCAGGGCTCAGAAGGGTCTAATGCGTGCCCTCGATTGTGTCAGGGCCTGACGTACAACCAATCATATGTTCTGAAGATCCCTGGCCTCTGTATGGTACCATAAAACTGTAGATAAATGGCTGACAAGTATATGAAAAGATGGGGGATTGGGGAGGAGAACATTAGGAGAAATACCTAATGTAGATGATGGGGCGATGGACACAGTAAACCACCACCATGGCATGTGTATACCCATATAACAAACCTGCACGATCTGCACATGTACCCCAGAACTTAAAGTACAATAAAAAAAAACAAATAAAATAAGAAAATAAAAAAAGATGCTCAGCATCATGAATCAACAGGGAAATGCAAATCAAAACCACAATGATAGATCACCTCTCACCTGCCAGAATGGCTATGATAAAAAACCGAAGATGAGTGTAGGCGAGGACGTGGCAAAACGGAAACCCTTGTACACTGTCGGTGGGAATGGACAGTGGTGCAGCTGCCTTGGAAAACAATGTGGAGGGTCGCCAAAAAGTTAAAAACAGAGGCCGGGGCGTGGTGGCTCACGCCTGTAATCCCAGCGTTTTGGGAGGCTGAGGCAGGTGGATCACCTGAGGTCAGGAGTCCAAGACCAGCCTGACCAACACAGTGAAATCCTATCTCTACTAAAAATATAAAAATTAGCCCTTTGTGGTGGTGCGCTTCTGTCATCCCAGCCCATTTGCAATTGGCCACTCTGAACCCAACTGGGTTAAAGAAAAGTGAATTCACAGGGCAGAGTGTTCTAAATGAGGCAGGAATCGCCCTCTAACTGGCTTCCTGGTGACTGTGCAGCTCAGCATTCACACCTCTAGCAGTTCCAACCCTCCCTGCTGGGTTATGGCCTGTCTTAGGAATTTCCCTGGCAGGGGAAGCACCACTCAGCCCTGACTCACCCACTGCCTAGTGCAAGGTGACATGGGCCACTCTGAATAACTCCACAACACTCTGCAGTATCTTGGCTTTTAAAAAGAAAATGAGGACAGAGTTATTTCAGCATATTAAGATTATGCATACACACTATTGGCTTGACCACCAAATCAACTAAAATGAGAATAACCAACAGATCATGTTAATAGAGTGTCTCTGAGATAAGTGGTGGCCCTTTGTACTTGTACACCAGGACAGCATCCAAGCATCTGGAGGAATCTGCATGTCCTACCCACGGGAACAAGGATGGAGTCTGGAGCCCAGGGAGGAAAGGGTGGGTGGGAAAACCTTGATATTCCCATGATGTCTGCCCTTGTCCAGTTTACAGCATGGACCTGAATCTAGTGAGGCTGCCCACAGGATTCCTCTCAGCCCCCAGAGGAGAACTCGCTTCACTGGGGCTGTGGGAAAGAACAGCTCAGTGACCTTTCCCAGACTCTCAGCATCGGCTTGGCTGGGAAAGCTGGGTGGGCAGAGGAGGAGTCTCCTGAGGCTGGAGAAATTCAAGCACAGACACCCTAGGAGGAGCCATGCAGCTGAAAGAGCAGACACATTATTGAGAGCCTTAGCTACAAATCTAGAAACTACATTTTCAGTTTTATATATATGTTTATTATCTATCCATTCATCCATCCATTATCCACCCATCCAAGCACCCATCCAATGAATGCTCATTGAGTATCTACTACAAGCCAGTTTCTTGCTGTAAAAACTCAGAAAGTTGTCTGTATCTACTAGAAAGATGTTAACATTCTATGCCTTTAAAAATGTTATACCCAACTTTGGAGTGAGCCTTTCTCCCTGTTTCCCAACTCTGCTTGTCAATTTCACCAACTCTTTTCTGTCCTTCAAGACTCAGCTTAAGGGTAGCCTACCTGCTGTGGCTGCCATAACTTCTTAGTGAAAACCACCAAGGAGCCAGCCCACCGCATCTGGTTGTCATAAACTCAGTAGCCAGTGACCATACTGGGTTGACACTGTTCCCAGGATTCTTCCCTCTAAAATCTAAGTTCTTTCTGGACCTGGATCATAGCACTGCATCTGTGTACACCCTGTAAATAGTTCACAGTGGGTTATTCAAAAATGTTTCCTGAGAAATGACATGAATGAATGAAGAAAGATCAGTTAACCAACTCCTTGTTTTCTCATTATTAACGAACAATCACTGAGGGGTGTTTCCAGTATGTGCCAGGTTCCTACAGGGAGCTGAGGTTGCTGCCATGAGTGAGACCATGCCAGGAATCCCTGTCCTCATGGAGCTTCGGACAAAAGTCAAGGCAGCCTCCTCAGTTGCAGATCAGCCTTCCCGATGGCCATGATGTGTGGGCTAAAGACTTTCCAAGGAGGGTTCTGGACAGGAGAGTAGGAATTGGGAAGCACTGGTGGAAGCGTTTTAGGTGCTAGGGACCCTGAGCTGTGGCAGGAAGAAGGTAGATACAGGGGCTTAAATATTAAAGGGAAAGATGGAGGAGCATTTTGGGCACTGTCAGAGCAAAAGCCCTGGTCTGGGGCTCTTTCGGCTCATTTTCATGACTCTTTGCTTGCTTGGGAATTCAGCGGAATGAAAAGCCAGGTCTTGGGAAGAAGACCCAGACAAACAGCTCTGCTAGGCCCACAGGAGAGAAGAGTTTGCGTCTTTAGAGGATTTAATGAGGTAGACTCTTTGTGACAGAAGACACGGGGACCAAGAACTGGCTTGGCAGACCCAGGGTCCAGGGGGAGCACCTTTGATGCCCATGACCCTGGATGAAGACCTGATGGTAGATGCAGGCCACGTAGGGGAGGGCTGGGAATCCCACCAGTGGCTGGGAAGGGATTAGCCTCCAGAAGGAGCTGATGGTCACTTCAAAGACCCCATGTATTTCCAGACCACATTAGAATGGCCGGGTTTTCCATCAGTCACAACACCTAGAGTACAAACCCTTCAAGTAGTTCATAGGAATGTTTTAATTTCTTTTACAATAAGAAAACACACATACACATCAACACAATCTAGCCTAGATGCCATTTCTCTTTCCCCAATGCATTAGGGAGTGAGGATCCCCTGCAGGTAAACGTGCCCAGGGAGGTCCCACAGTGGCCCTGCTGGTGAGATCTTTTTGAACAGACAACTGAAGCCTCATGCTTGCCTGAAAAGAAGGCTGACAGAAGGATCTTAATATTGCTTGGAAAGATTTAGCATTTGGTTATAGGTATGCTGGAAAGAAAGGGTTAGGAATTGAGAACCCTTCTGATATTCTTATTTTTTTCTTTTCTTTTTCTTTCCTTTTTCCACTCTGGGCTAATCTAACAGGTGATGACATCACACAAGACATTTATTTATTTGTTTATTTTTGAGACAAGGTCTCACTCTGTTACCCAGGGTGAAGTGTAGTGGCCTGATCATGACTCACTGCAGTCTTGATCTCCTGGACTCCAGCAATCTCCCACATCAGCCTCCAGAATAACTGGGACTACAGGCGTATACCACCATACTTTTGGCTATTTTTTTCTTTTTTTGGGGGGGAGGGATGAGGTCTATCTATATTGCCCAGGCTTGAGCTTGTAGGCTCAAGCGATCCTCCCTCTTTGGCCTCACAAAGTGCTGAGATTACCAGCATGAGCAACCACGCATACCAGGGAGTTTATTAAGAACAGAGGTCTCAAACATGAAGCCAGGGAGCTGCGTGAGGCCTGGTAAATTAGAAGGCTCTCCAAGGCCCTTGGGTTTTCAGAACTTTTGTAGGTTACACAATTCACTTACCTGGGCAGGGCAAGATGTTGCATTCCTGGTATTCCAGGGATGGGCCGAGGCAAGGCATCCCCCCATACTTGGGTTCGGGGTTGTTGCAAACACGCTTCCGGTTCCGAATGCCCCTGCCGCAGTCACGGCTGCACTGTGACCATGATGTCCAGGCTGACCAAGCCCCATTGACCGTGTGGGCAGAGTATCTCCCAGCACGCAGGAAATCCCCAGAAAGCCCTGCCAAGGAAACAGGTAAAGTGTGATGTGTTTCAAATTTCAGAGGAACCACAGTCCATGCTAACTTTCATTCTGTATCAGCTGTCCGCCTTACTGCTAGAACCACCCTCGAATTCAGTTGAGCTCTTTTTATACTTCAGCAGCCAGAAATCAGCGGGGTGATAACTTCTTATACCTCAAGCTTCTTTCCTGCAGTTACTAGGAAACAAAGCTGAAATTAAGAACTCTATTTGAGAATACAGTAACGTCTTTACACAGGAAATAATAGGTCCTATATAGGTAGTTCACATACTCTTTGACGAACCTTCTTAAAAAGAAAATATAACTTTCTCACTTCTCTTGGGAATTCTACAACCAACTGCCCTGAGACCCCATGGAGACAGCCTGCCCTGGAGGACATCCATCTGCAGGAAGTGGGGCATAATTCAGACATTTTCTCAACCTGCTCTTTCATCTGTTAACTTTTCAAAGGTGAATTCATGCTGGTGAAATGTGCCAAGCCAACTGCTCCTGGATCACAGGCCACAGAAACTCCCATCACCTCCATGGAACTCGTGCCCTGGAACTGAACACAGTGCTGAATGACTTCATAGAGGTTCAGAGCTTACTACCTAACAAAATGTGTTTCCCTAGGAGCCAAGAGGGGCAGCAGCAGTAGCAGTCAGGGTGCTGGGGTGAGTGGGGAGCTGCTGTAGCAGGAATCACAGCCACAGGCTCTGTAGACATACAGTGAGTCATGTGTACTCTGGGCACTTTAACTTCAGTCATGTAATTAGCCATAGTCAAAATTTATGTTTGTTTTGATGAAAATGTCTACCCACTCACAATACTAAAAAGTATTCAATAATTTTCTCAAATGTAGGCAATGTGACACAAGCTTTAACAAATAACTCTAAAAGTACGCAGTAAAGTTCGGGAGAAGAGTGGTCAAAAGACAAATGTGCCAACAACTCTTGGTGTTGTTAAGCAACTGTGTTGTTTCCTTAGAAAATCTATTTTGAAAGGATAGCAGGATACTCTTCAGATAAAGTGAATTAGAAGTGTCTTTTGATGATAAATCAGTATTCTATGGTGAGTCAATAAAGAACAGCTAAGCACAAAATCAAGCCTCATTTTATGTGGTGAGAGGAAAATGAGACCCATTTTGTGTTTTCAAGATATCAATACCAAAATGTGAGATGGTCATTAGAACTCAAAGCCATAAAGACACAGGAGAATAAAGCTCCATGCGTGCATATGTTTATTGCAGCACTATTTACAATAGCAAAGACTTGAAACTAACCCAAATGCCCATCAACCATAGACTGAATAAAGAAGATGTGGTGCATATACACCACAAAATACTATGCAGCCATAGAGAAGGATGAGTTCACGTCTTTTGCAGGAACATGGATGAAGCCGGAAACCATCATTCTCAGCAAGCTAACACAGTAACAGAAAACCAAACACTGCATGTTCTCGCTCATAAGTGGGAGTGGAGCAATGAGAACACATGGACACAGGGAGGGGAACATCACACACCAGGCCTGTCGGGGCGTGGTGGGCTACGGGAGGGATAGCATTAGGAGAAATACTTAACGTAGATGATGGCTTTAATGGGTGCAGCAAACCACCATGGCATGTGTATACCGATGTAACAAACTGCACGTTCTGCACATGTATGCTGGAGCTTAAAATATAATTTTAAAAATATATTGAAGTCACATACAAAATGAAATATTAATGTTAATTGTATATTTTACATAAATCTTCCCATTTGTATATATAAGCAATCCAATGTTAAGCTTTTTTGAAGGGGAATGGTAAAAATCAGGCTAATTTCTCAAACTTCAAATGTTTAACACTTATTAAAAGTACTTTTAAATTCTGAATTTCATATGTTAAATTCCAAAACTCAAATTAAAATAAAACTGTCGTTTAAATGGAAAAAAAGACACACTCTTAATCTAATTTTGAAGAAAATATAGACTCTCTTTTATAAATGTGTATTCACATTTTCCTTGGTTTATATTATGAACAATTAAAACTAATATTAGCCCTGGTTTTATATGTATCTGAAAATGGCAGGAATATACTGGGTAAGTTCAGAAAGGAGACTGAAGTTGATGTACAGAGAAGCACCATCATTCATTTCCTATTTGTTTCTTTGATATCATAAGAAATACAGTTCACAGCCTGTTTTGAAATGAGAGAGTAAGTGAATAGAGATAGTATTGCCAGATTGAGCAAATAAAATGCAGGAAACTGAGTTAAATACCACGTTCAGAAAAAGAATAGCATTTTATGATAAGTATGTTCCAAATATTATATGAGACACATCCATACTTAAATAACTGGGCCAGGTACACTAACATTTGTAATCCCAACACTTTGGGAGGCCGAGGCAGCAAATCACTTGAGCCTAAGAGTTCAAGACTATCCTGGGCAACATGGAGAAACTCCATCTCTACAAAAAATACAAAAATTAGCTTGATGTGGTGATGCACATGTATAGTTCCAGCTACTGAGGAGGCTGAGGTAGGAGGATTGATTGAACCCAGGAGGTTGAGCCATGACTGCACCATTGTACTTCAACCTGGGCAACAGAGAGATCCTGTCTCAACAAACAAATGAAACAAAACCAAAAAATTGCATGGATCTTAGTCATTTAAAAAGTTATGTGGCATATACTTATCCTGAAAAGGATTCATGGGATATACCTGTACTAGAATAAACTTCTGAAAGATATCTGAAATTTGTATTTAAATTTTATACTTTATCTCACCATGCTAGGTGGAGGTCACAAGACTATCCTTCATAAAACGTGCATCTTTAAGTCCTCAGTTATCTTTCTCTTGGTATTTCATAATATACCTTCTCTTCCAAATATAACAAGAGTTTACAAAATTAAAAAGAGTATTATTTTGTTACTCATTTTTCTAGGTAGGTGGTATTTGTTTAATTTGTATGTTTATTCACATAAAAATGATATAAAAGCAGACTCTTTTTATTTGCTTCAAGAAACAATGAGCTTGTGTAATTGCTGAACGACAGTGAGCAGTGGCGTGAGGAGAGAGTTAATGTCAGTAAGAAGAGTAGGATGAGGAAGCAGGCTTGTAAAGCAAGTGGCTCCTGCTCCACGTGCTGGGCCTCCAGGCATCCAGGCTGTTCACTGGCTCCCAGGAGAAGTCATGGTGATCTGTGACAGGAGAGCAGCTGGTGGCGGTCACCTAGAGCCATGCTGTCTTACAGCCTTCTTCATGGCAACACCAAGGAGATCTACCAAACTCCATGAATTTATCCCACAATAAATTCTGTCCAATATGGCAGCATGCCAGCTCAGTGGCACTTGTCTAGGCTACCCACTCTGGGAAAAGACCCCTTCTCTATAAATGGTTCCTGTCCTTTCATGTTGGGAGAATAAGGTAGAATCACCAGTGCAAAGATGCTAAGGCATATCTAAGAATGGCTGCAAGGCATAACAATCACTGTTCTCATCAAACTGTGATCCAAAGACCCATCTGTGAGTATCTATTTCCTTTTCTGTTAGTATCTTTTCCTTTGAAAGAGATTTTGCTCAATTAGAGGAGACTGAAAAACAGAGATGAAGAACAAAGCAAAGAATCAAAGCTCTTAGGGACCAAGAGGCTCAACTCCTTTTTCTGGAGTTGAGACAGCTGAGCTCTAGGGAGAGAAGGCGACTTGCCCCAGGTAAGAGGACCACTTGGTGTCAGGCCCAGGCAGAGGCCAGATCTGGTTCCTGTCTCAGGGCTTTCTCCGTTCTCCTACTGTGGCATTCAAGGGATTTACTCAATTGTGAGGAGTAAAGTGATTTCAAAGACTATTCTAGTATCCTCACACACTGTGCTTTTTAAAAACAGAAAATCTTTTTATAGGTACAAAGAGAAATGTACTTCCATTGCCTTTGTGAAGTTTAGGGATTAAATAAAGAAAAAACCTTTCTTCAGCTTACATTTTAGGGCCAGAGATGTATGAAAGATCACTGATACATCCCCAGTACATTTTCTGATACTAAATAAATCTCACACAAATGATTCTGGGTCTATAATAATGTTATTTGGGGACCTGATTTCATAGTATCACCTCAATAACTAACTTTTTACAGTAAGGGTCTTTTCTTTCAGTTTGCCATACAGTCAGTTGCACTCTATGGGGAACACTCTTTTCAAGACTGCTAAGCCATAAATAACCAAAAAGAAAAATGCCCCCTTGCTGTTTATGACCTTAGAGGTAAGATCAAAGGCCCTTCCAAGGAAGTGGGTCAGTCCCCGTAAAACCACTACTCACCATCTGTGGAGCAGCCACTGGTGCCGTCGCTAGAACAGTACCGCATTTCGATTCTCTGTCTTCCCACTTCCAGCAAATTTGGATCGGGCAGGCGGGCTTTGCACGTGTATCGGAATCGCTGCTCATAGTGGCCACCATTGTCAGAGATGTTGACGGGCGTCCAGGGGGTCCAGGGCGTGGTCTTCTTCAGCTCAGGACACGGGCTGGTGTTGCAAGGCTGGTACTCCTGCGGAGGACACACAGGCGAGCATTACCACAGGGGTAAACAAAGCAACCTCACAAAAGGCTCCTTTCCTTTAGGGAAAGATAAGGGTCTCTAAAACATCAGCTCCTACAACACTCACAGCTACTCTACAAAACTAAAAACACATTTATGTTAAATTAGGCATTCAACAGAATGCTCAGTGTTCAAATAATCTCCCAAAGGAATTCGCACAGTCTCTCCGGGTGCCAACAATGGGAATGAGGCAGCAGACTTAATTGTTTGTGAAAAAAAAAAAAAAAAAACAGTGATCCCACAAAAATCATCTTCCTTTCACTAAATGAGTAGCTAAAATATTGATTATTCTGATGTTAAGTTTAGCTATTTTCTTTAAAAGATTGAATTGTAGAGCTCCTAATATTCAGTTTGAGGTTAATGGATGTTTGAAGACCTGGGATCACACATGCCAAGTGTTGGAGTGGTAGGGGAGCCACGATAAAATGATGCAAGAGACATTTTTACATATAAGAAGCTTTCCCATCATCTCCCAGCTAACACCTTCAAGGCGCTTCTCGGCTTCTCTTGAGAGCATACTAAAATGTAAGTTCAGTTCCTTCCCTCCTAGGTACCTACCTTGTAAGCACAGGTAGGAGGATCCTGGGCAGCTGAGCATGCAGTGGCTTTGGAGTCTGGCAGGTGGAGATGATGAAAATCTGCCTAGAGCACTTACTGCTTTATTTGACAAGCATTCTACATTCAGTTACTGCAGACACAGAGCCCAATCAATAGGAGGACACAGGGACTGACCCTGGATGCAATGTGACAGCATTTCTCCATTTTACAGCCACAGGTTTCACTGGAGGGAAGACCCATACGCATAACACACCTGGTGATGGCCACAGGTTTAAAGATTTTTAACATTATATTAATAAAATAAGAATTAAATCACTTTTTAAGCTTTATTGTAAAATAAGAAAATTGCTCTATCATTTTTCCACCTCTTTCAGTTGCATATTTTGATACTTATTTCCACAGAGCTAAACTTGAGTTGGGGTCCTTCTGGTAAACCATTTGAATCTACAAATTCCTTTGGTTTTAGGAATAGTCTTGATTACTTCATCTCATTCTTCCCTCCGTTTTCTTGCTGCGTCTCTTATCATTTGGATATAAACTTATCTATCCATTTTTATATTTCTCATCTTTTATCTCATAGTTTCCATGTCTTCATCTTTTGCTTTAGTTTCTGGAAGATTCCTCAATCTTATCTCCCAAAATAATGATTTAAATTTTCATCTTATCTATCACATTTTAAAGTTTCAAAAGGCCTTTCGTATCATTTTTTTTTTTTTTTTGGTTCTTGATTATTCCCTGATACTGTATGCTACTTTCTCCAATTTGAGTACATTAAGGATTTGAGTACACTGAGTACATTAATGAATTATTTTAAGGTTGTAGCCTCTCTCTACAGCTTCTCTATCTTCTAAATTGCTGAATTCCCTTTGCTGTTTGGATCTCTACCTTTCTTGTTAGATTGTTTCTTCTGTGGTCTGAACATTCTTTGTTTTCTGCTCTGATTTAGAGTGGAGGGCTAAAAAGTTTAACTGGAAGGTCTGAGCAAAGAGAAGTCTGTAGACCTGGTCAGATCTGGCTGCAATCTTTAGATGAAGTATGTTGTCAGAAACTTCAACCTTTCCTGCTGGACTCCTCAGAGACCCCTGAGAAGACTGCTCCAATACCTTGCCTGGATGCTGGAGGCTGAGCCATGGGGGATCTGAGAGCCAAGTGGAGGAAGAGGGTTGAACTCTCAGTGTCCAGTAGACAACCATTATCTTACTCTGCCTCTCTCAGTTCTGAAGCACCCAGTTAAATGAGTCCAGTGCTCAGAGGTCCAGAGACCCTCTGTTTCCCTCTCCAGAAAATAAGCTTCCTGGCATCTGCTAGACAGAGCAGGTCTTGTCTCCTTGGTGGAGCAGGAGAGAGGTATGGAGGTCTGACAACTTCTTAAACAGAAGTCATCCAATGTTATTTTGCCACTAACAGAGAAAACGGGGCTGCTGATTCCTGAGCTCTCTGAGGGGTCTCTGGTGTGCATTGAGATGATTATTTTCATGTATGTGTTGGGGGTCCCCAAGATCACTCCAGTTTCTATGATTAGAGAGCAGGATCCATAGGACTCTGTAAACAGCAGTGTTTTCAGCTATAATTTATTATAGTAAAAGAATACAAAGCAAAATCAGCAAACGGAAAACACACATGGAATAGAAGTCCAAGCAAAGCCAGGCACAACCAAGAGTCCTCTTTCAGCGGAGTCACAAAGGATGTGCTCAGGCTTCCCCAGCAGCTAGTTGTGATTATGTACAGGGAAGGTAGTCTACTGGGAAGCTCACTGGAGATGGTGCTCAGGGTTTTCACTGGGTTCTGGCTGCATAAGCATCTTTGCACTGCATGTACCAAAAGTCCAGATTCCCTAAGGAAGCTTTCAGTATATGTACAGACAGTTTAAGCACAGAAAGCCACTCTTGCCATCTGGGAATGGTAGAAACTTTCCTGAAATCCAGATTCCCAGATGCCAGCCAAGAGCTAGCCTTTCAAGCAGGCCTTTCCAAGAGTCACAGGGCAGGGCAGACAAGTCTTCTGCATAGTTCCCCTCTGCTAGACTTGAATTCATGCTTCTTCGATATGTTTCCAGATTCTACTTTTTATAAACAATATGGTTCCTTCTCTTTTTTTTCTGACTTTGTGCATTTATGCCTTTAAAAATCAATCCCTCCAACATTGTATTGATATGCTTCCAGTAGGACAGAAAGCAACTGTGTGTGTACATGCCACCAAGTTTACCTGGGAACCTAATACAATCTTTATTTTATTCTGTTTTAAATATTCTAACTAGCATTCTCTACTCATAATACATTTCTTTCTTCTTTTTTTTTTTTCAGCAGATAACAGGATTTTTGTGACATCATAGGCTTTTAACATAAAATATGTAAAACGATCATTGCTGTTTCTTTGATTTAATACTCTCCAGGCATTCCTCCCGGACTACGCCATCTCCATGTCAACAAATACTAGAAAGACAGATGACTTCATTTTCTTGTGTTTACAGCATCTTTTATTATGACATCTTTTGAATCCTGCCTCTTAAATGAAAAAGCCCCAATGAATGCCATAAACCCAATCATGTGAAAAGCCAGGCACAACACATGTGTGATCTCTTTCACTTAGAATGAAAACCACATGACATGGACCTTCTGCGCCTATGGTATGGGGATGCTTTCACCCCTGGATTGAGAATGCCAAGAGCCACTGCCCTTCCCTCCCTACCTCAGAGCCAGCCTGGCCATGTAAGCATCCCGGAGCTCCTTGGCGAAATGTACTCAAAACATGTGCAGTTTGGCCATGTGCGGTGGCTCATGTCTGTCATCCCAGCACTTTGGGAGACCAAGGCGGGTGGATCACCTGAGGTCAGGAGTTCGAGACCAGCCTGGTCAATCCCATTTCTACTAAAAATATAAAAATTAGCCAGGTGTGATGTCAGGTGCCTGTAGTTCTAACTACTCTAGAGCCTGAGGCATAAGAATCGCTAGAGCCTGGAAGGTGGAGGTTGCAGTGAGCCAACACTGCACCATTGCACTCCAGCCTGGGTGACAGAGTGAGACTCCATCTCAAAAAAACAAGCAAACAAACAAACAAATAACACGTGACGTTTATGGGCCTCTGTTTGAAAAGTGCTGGTCTTTAGGTCTTAACAAATGCAGCATTACCTATAAATTAGTAACATCCTACATCTTCATAAACAGATTTATAGGCTACCATCAGTAATTCTCAGGCTCCCCACAATGCAAGCTTCATCCCTTCTATGGAGATGAAGCTTAATTTTTGAAATGTACGAGTGGCCAAATGTGTTTGGAAGTTGGCTCAAGTGTCTGCATTCTCATCTCTGTTGGTCCCAGAGGTAGGCGCAGCTCACGGCTAAGGAAGATCAGTTCAGTCTCTAGATCTAAGCTGCCAAAACAGTCTGTTCTTATGTTCTTATTTCCTCATGATTCAAAGTTTAACATGAGACTTCTCCTTTCCAGTGCTTTTTGAAGTTTAATTATGATACATTCACTTGAAGTATCAAATTATGAAACGGTGAGAAATGATATGGTCAATTTCTTTTATCTTAATGAGCAAAATCATGAAGTGATTTAATTCTGTTGTGATCACTTATATGGCTTAACTGAATAAGTATGCTACAATTTACTAGAGAACTACTACTGTAACTATCCAAATGTAAATGGAACTTTAACAACACTGCACTTAATACTAAAGAGATAAATGATTTTAAAAAGGATTTCAGGAAGCTATCTACTGTGCTGTGGCACACAAGGTTCTTAACATTCTGATGGAAAATGAAATAAGAATGCTTACTAAAGCAATTATAAATAACTTCACCAAATATGTTCCCCATGTATTATGCATTCCAGTCAACTGTGGTAAAAGCATCCATTTAAACGTTTAATCCAGAAACCTGGGAGACACTCTGCCGGTTCTCCGTTACTTCTTCTTTTCCATTTTTACTATACTTTAAGTTCTGGGGTACATGTGCAAAACATGCAGGTTTGTTACATAGGTATATATGTGCCATGGTGTTTTGCTGCACCCATCAACCCGTCATCTACCTTAGGTATTTCTCCTAATGCTATCCCTCCCCTGGCCCTCGACCCCCAAGAGGCCTCAGAGTATGATGTTCTCCTCCCTATGTCCAAGTGTTCTCATTGTTCAACTCCCACTTATAAGTGAGTGCATGTGGTGTTTGGTTTTCTGTTCCTGTGTTAGTTTGCTGAGAATGATGGTTTCCAGCTTTATTCATGTCCCTGCAAAGGACAGGAACTCATCCTTTTTTATGGCTGCATGATATCCCATGGTGTATATGTGCAGCATTTTCTTTGGCCCATCTATCAGTGATGGGCATTTGGGTTGGTTCCAAGTCTTTGCTATTGTGAATAGTGATGCAATAAACACACATGTGCATGTGTCCATAT